TTGCCTGGAGGCTAGAGGCTGAGTCTGAATATATACCGGAATAGTTATTTTCCAGTGCGTAGACAAGTGCAGCTTTTAATGCAATCAGTTCAGCCTGAAAAACTTAGTTGTGGTGCTTAAGCCTTCTTTCCCAGGTCTTTAAGATCTGGTTCCCAAGTAGACACAGTATCCGCTACCGGTGCCACACTCTCCTTTGGAACCATCGGTGTAGACTGCAGTGGCGTTGAACCACGTTGGTGACCTGCAGTTAATCGAGATATTGAAATCGGCCGGGTGGCAAGGTGGCTCGGGAATGCTTTGCTCATATGCTCATAGTCAGTATAAACATAAGTCCTGTCCCATAAACTTATTGTCTCTTTGAGTCGGAGCACTCGCATTATTGCACTCTCGCGCTGAGCTAAGAAATGCAGAGGCGGTAATCCTGAAATCACGTTTAGAGCATTAATGGGCGAAGTTTTATATCCTCGGGTAATGCTCAGGAGGAATGGTCTTTGTGCTGAGCGTAGCAGATTCTCCATTTTAGTAGTGATCGTTATGCCCCACATGGAGGCCCCATACAGTGCAATACGTTCAGCAACTACAGAGTACCACGTCTTAAGCATCCTCGAAGAAACTCCCCATGTTGGTGCTGCTGTTCTGAGCATGGAATGAAATATTCTGTAAAGTCGTGCCTTGACCTCCTTTAAATGTGGCATCCAAGTCAATGTGTCATCAATTATAACTCCAAGGTATCTTAAGTTTCTGACTATTTTAATAATTTTTCCCATGAAGGTTGATGCACGGGGTCCTTCGATGGCGCTTACCTGGGCAAATAAGCATACCTTGGGTTTTTGAAGTTCACATCAGCGAAGGAGTCTATGTGAATTTAAATAAAACATTTCTTGCGGAATTTTTTCTACGAATTAATGGTACCACGAATTTGTTGTACCTTGTTCAAAAGTAGGAGTTCAGATACAATTCATTTTTTTATGATGGACGACATATACGTTGAATTCTGAATGGATTATTTTCATGTAACAAAACAGGTCGTAAGGTATGGCAAATATACTTTTAAGATTTATATTGTAGAAATCCATTTTTAATCTTGCTACTAATACAAGTAACTTCCTCTGTATAAGATTTTCGAATACATTCAGTTAGTAGTATAAAAATGTAAATGCAATATTTTTTCTTTGTTCCAAAGAAATTTGGGTAGAAAGAATGTTAGTTCAAGATAAAATAACCTTTATATGCCAATATATTAAGTTTCTAACAGTTATTTTCATTTTTATACATGCTTTACTGTCTATTCTGGTTTCCCACCTACTATTCCTTATCAGAATAAGTTTTTAGTATCAAGTTACATGTAAATGAGGTAGAGTATTTAAAGAAAGGTTTCACTTACTTCAGTAGAACAGCTTAGGAGTCCTCAGTGGCACATGTTTGCTGTTCGGCTACTTCATTAACTACATTCGGCCGTATTGCACATGCCTGCAGATATTCACCGGTTAATTTAATTACAGGCCAACTACATTACGTAATTTTGTACAGCTTCAGTTTAGTTTAGCATTACATTAGCTTCTTATTTTTTCATCTTGAGTTTAAGCCCAAGTAGAGGCAAGCAAGTCCGAGAAAAGGGCCATCTGTGTTCTTAGTTTGAGATAATATAGGGCGAGTTTAACCCTTCTCTGGCATTTTCATTTACACATTTGGATTCAGCTAATAAATAGTTCAACTAGGTTTTTACTAAGCATAGACAAAGCAGTTAGAAACATTATAAGCATATCGGTGGATTACGCATTTAAGATCCACAGAGTGAACTGACATTCAGCCATTTATACATTAAATTTTTCAGGTAAGTGAATGAATATCAAATGAAAATTTGTTCGATTATCATGTATAAATGTGCATTCAGGTTTTGTATGCAACAGACCTTTTTACTGAGATGTAACATGAAATGAAAGAGAAAATCAAAAATATAGTTCAGAAACCGAAAAGAAAGCAAAGTGTGCACTACGATAAAAAATAAATATTAGAATACTAAGATATGAATTAAATAAGTAGAGCTAATATTTTCCCATGACAAAGAAAATAAATCGAATAAGAGATACTTTAAATAAAGTATTAGATAATTTAAAATTTGTATTTCAACTTCTAAAGACATTTACCTTTTTCGAAAAATAGTGCCTAAACTGCAGTACAAAAAATGACAATTCAGAAAAATATTTTCAAAACAATGCTTACTTCAAACAATGCGATTACTTCTATTAGTATTATAGTAATTAAAAACAAGAAATTAAGAAGGAACTGAATAACAAACATTAATACTTTTATTAATAATACAAGTTACTAGTAATAAGATAAACTGTCAAAATATTTAATCATTAAAGAAATCATTAAAAGTATGTGAATAGATAGACCAAAACATGGGAAAAGGAAATAAAAACTGTGCAAATCAAAGGAAATGGATAACAGCATTTGAGGAAATGGAAAATAATCAGACATTTATGTTATTTGACATCCACTAATTAGCAATTTATCCCATGTAGGGACCTGGCAAGCTGAAGGATCCTAAGGTTGACTTCATGAGAGAGTCTAAAATTAGAAATATATATATATATAATATATATATACACTGCTGGCCACCCAAATTGCAACACCAAGAAAGACAAGAGATATCACAACAAAATTTATTTAGTAGATAACATGTTGACCAAGTATCAAATGATTAAATTTATAGACTTCTGTGAAGTATGGTTCCTTCCAGAATCAGTAGCCAGAGTAGCCACCATTTCTACATTCGTTGGAGATCACCACTGCCACACGCCTCGGCATTGCTTCAAAGAGACTTTGGATGTGTTCTTGGGGTACAGCAGACTAAGCAGCTTCCACACGTTGCCAAAGTTGATCTGGTGTGGCAGCTTGGGATGTAATCTGGCTCAATCGTTCGGCAACCATGGACCACATGTTTTCTATCAGTGAAAGATCCAGAGAGCGAGCCGGCTAGGGAAGCAATTCAATCTGGCGATTGATGAAGAACCCTTGGACAATGCGTGCCATGTGTGGTCGCGACCACACGTCGCACGCATTATCCTGTTGAAATATGGTTGTGGGCAAGACCCTGAATGTAAGGAAAGGACAACTGGCTCCAACACCTCGGAGATGTAGCACTGGCTGTTTAAAGTACCGGCAATGCGTATTAGAGGAGTGCGAGAGTGATATCCAATACCGCTCCATACCATAATACCCGGTGCAGGACCAGTATGGCAGAGAATAATGCAGCTGTTCAGCATCCTCTCTCCACGGTGTCTCCAGACTCAAATCCAACCATTGTGGTGTTGTAGACAGAAGCGTGACTCGTCAGTAAAGACAATTTCATTCCATTCTGCCGTCCACATCCTTCTTTCATTACACCATAGGCGGCGGAGACGCCTGTGGTTCTGCGTCAAGGGTAGACGAAGCAATGGACGTCTTGCGGACAAACCACTTTGCTGTAAATGGTATTGAATGGTAAGTGCAAACACTGGATAATGTGTTACAGATTTAATGTGCTGCGCTACAGTTTGCGATCCATCACTGCCATGCGCACAGCGTTCCTGTCATCATGTGAAGTGGTGCACTGAGGTGGATGCGATCGAACACGTCGGTCATCGTACCCTCCTGCATCCAACAGTCACATATCCGCATTACAGTTGTTTGGTTTCGTCCAACACAACTACAGAAATCCCTGAAAGATAATCCACACTCTCGGTAGGCCACTATCCTTCCTCTGTCGAACTCGGATACTTGATCAAACGATGATCGCTGTTTACTACGAGGCATAATTGATCGTTTCTTTGAAAGAAAACCACAAGAAAAACAATTGCTGAACTTGAAATCATCGAAAACTCCAAGCCTTAAATAGTGCTTTGAAGTGGCACCACAAGTGTGCGTGATGTGCGTCTGCGCTGAAATTCTAATCATTTGTATACCTCACCTCCGCAAATGCATGTTTGTAAATAATACTGTTTAGTAAATAAATTATTATTAACTAACTTTGCAGCAATTGCACAAGTAGTAATAATTTGTTTTCGCACTATATGGATTTAAGATCATACATTATATATATATATATATATATATATATATATATATAAAAAGAGGGGGCATTTTAACCATTCAGAACTCTCTGCATCAGTAGTTCAGAGAAGATTGATTTAGAAAAGTGCTCTGGACAGCACATGAGGCTCGGAGAGAAGAGCATTAAGTTGACTTCTTGGTTTAAGTAAGTGGGAGGGGCTTGGAGCAACACCAAAGGGATAAACTGGCTACTGTGAGAACATTGCAGATAAGTAGGAGCCCAATCTTCAGCAAAGAGTTCATACGAGTTGGAGTTCGACTGAAAAGTCGTCTTTGGAGTCAAAAAGGATTTGACAAATTATTTTTCATCATTAATCTAGTTTCTGAGTAGCAAATTAACTGGAAAAGATGCACTCAAAAGAAAATACATGTATAAATTGTTAATTTTGATCATGTGCATGCAGATATGAAGATTTTTCTGAGCATTTCATGTGGTGATATAGGTTACCTCCATTATTCTGCAGAGAAAATAACTACCTTTATTAAGCATGTGCCTAATATGTTGATTAATAACCTAAAATAATATTCAGTGTCTAATATACCTATCAGTTTGATCCATGTTCAGTTATGTTACTTGAATAAGGCAAAGCACATATGACTACTTTATGTACATTGACTTAATCAATATATATGACTACTTTATGTACATTGACTTAATTAATATGACTTAATCAAATAACCTAACATGGGTAGAGTTAGTTATCTTTGAATTATAATACTGTTTTATTAAGCACCATTTAACAATATCCCTTTATTTATTAACTTCATTGTTGTGAAGTAGTAAAGAATGTTGAAAAAATTGCAAGATCAGTTAACATGAAATATTCATAAGTCAGGTCACTAACATTAATAATAAAAATAAAATTTTGCTTTAACATAAAAAAATGACAAATTACTTCCTATTTAAATGATAAACAAATACAGCTTTATTACACAAAAATGTGAACATAGTAGAAAATGTGAACACAGTACAAATATATGTAACAACATCTTATCAAGAAAGGAAAGAACAAAGATTGAATCATAACAGTCTGCCTACTGGGAAAAAGGACACGAGATAACATTCATGAACATACTAAGTCCTATACTCTATACATGCAATAAATGATTATTTATCAAATGAGAATACAACAGGAGAAAATTTACTAGATATTTATGGTTTTATCTCTTAGCAATTGTTTCTAATAATAATTTCTGAAGAACATCTCTTTGTTTCTCAAGCTTCTGGGCAAGTATTGAAAGTTCCTTATTTTCTGCTTCTAGTTTTTTCACTTTTTCAGTCATTTCCAAATTTTTAAGCTTGCGTAATTTTCGGGAACGTTGGGATGCTATATTATTTTTTCGACGCATTTCCACGTATTTTTTGCTTGCCACACACTGAAAATCTGAGGTTTCTGACTTACTAGCAGTTTCTTCTTCACACACATTTAATGATACAGAATTAAAATCTGGCATTAATGTAGGTATATGATTCTGGTCTGGAGACTTCAAATTTGGAGATGCAACTTGAAAATCTGAAATCTAGAAAAATTAAAAAATTAAAAAACTGAAAGCAATTTTAATTCTTTTCATTTTTTTATCTCAATTTTGCTTCTTTGCAATTTGATACATAAATTTTATAAAAGTGTTTTATGCTTCAGAACATTTGGATGTGTACACCTTCTGGACACAGAATGGTACACACACATTCAAAATTCTCCTAGGATAAAAACAAGTTTAACATTATTTTGTTGACTGTAAGTGTTAATAAGTTCTCACTAGATAATGAAGCATAAATTACAAAACAGCCTAAATCTGCAATTTTTGATAAACAGAACAGGTAAAATTTATACACTGAAAACTGAACTCTTAATTGAATTTGTTAAACATTTGACTCTCTATATACAAAATTAATCAGAGGGAAAAAAGAAATTTCAGTTTTCCCAATTAATTTCTTCATAATGTATCTAAAAATTACTCATATTTATCTAATGGTGATTAGTAACAAACAGTAAATTAACATTTTATTCGCACTAGAAACAGGATAAAATGCCCAATAATTTTAACTATTTTGATAAAATAAAGATTAGCTTACATTTTATGCTACAAGGGATCACATGACTTAACCTGGAATTTTAACTTTGGACAGAAAAATATGGTTCATTATAGAAAACGATTTATGTTTGCCAAAATTAGTTGTTGAACTCCATTAGTTTATTCCAGGGATTATGCTTTCATACTAGCAGCTTTGATGCTTCATTAAAACTACATAATGAATGATATCTTTCAAATTACAATCAAATTTTTTACTTATGTTAGAAACTGCTTATTAGTCCTTTAAGTATGTTTATGCAAAAGAAAATTGATTTTATTGCTGAATTAATGAATACCAAGTGCTGGTACAAGAAATGATGTTATTTGTAATTATCAAACCAGTACCCGTATTGATAAATTCAGACAGTGTAAACCTATGTTACTGATTTTGATCTTTTCATGTCCCTCATTTGTACTACTTCACACCTCGCATATTACTGCAGAGAGAAATGTTTCTAAGGTAAAATTTCCTCCATTTAAATTTAACATTTGTAATGTTTTATTATGTAAATATGTACAAATAAAAATAATACACACCAGTTGATTAATTGTTCATTTATTGCATTGATATGTACAGATAATAATACATAACAGTTGTTTAACTGTTCATTTATTCGAGTAATTCTGATAACTCACCATTCAGGACCTAACAGAAGAGCTATTGTATTGTAACCTTCTAGAGATGTGTTAAAGGGCCTTTAATACAATAATGTGCAAAATTAAAGGTTCTTTACTTGTGATGTATGGAAAAACACATACTTTTGCATTACGTACAATACTTTGCAACTGAATGCTCAAGAATTATGATATAAAATATATACACAAATGAATACAAAAAAGAGATTGCATAATTATATCATTGATTCATCACTTTGGATTGACACAATATGTGAGACAATAAGAGTTGATATGTTAGGCATCATAATGTCTGTCCATGGAACTAACCCCCCCCCACAATGGCAGCATTAGAGGGCATACATCATTTAGTATGATTCATGCTACCTCTGTATTTATGCTGTTTGATTTAACCACAGGTTGTTTTGAATACCATTCCAATATATAATGCGTTTTCGATGCCACTTGTGAAGGAATTTTCTAGTTAGAATTATGTAAAATGAACAAAACTTGCAGATGATGTATGTATGTCACTGTCACATCAAGTAAGTACAATTTTTGCATTTTAATTTAATGCAATTTTAACAAATATTACATTAAAATACAATGCAATCTTGAAAAATTTTGTTAGTTTTGATACCTTAATTTATTCATTCCCCTGCATGTAAACTGCATTCCCTAATTAAATAAGCATTTGATGATTATGAACTTGGCAGGGATGACCAAACTTAGTCCATGTTTTATCACCACGAACATTCTCTACAGTGATTATATTAGGGTAACTGATTAAAGCAAGGGATATGCAGGCTATCTGCCTAGGGTGAGAATCATTTGTAGAGGACTCTTTAAAGGAAACTGGCTAACACTGACATTACACACAGGGAAAAACTACAGAAAGTCCCATGCAGCCAGCTAGTTCATCTAGATTTTAATTTGGGTTAAACTACCAGTATTTAGCAATCTCAATCCACTCAGACCTTGGTGTGCTTTACTGCAGTAGATAAAGTAATAATGCAAGAGGAGAAGCAGCAACAGACAGATCCATTCAGTATAAAAAACAATTTAAATTTAACCATCAATATAAAGCTGCTTAAGAAACCACATTCTAAATACATCGCTCTATTTGTAAATTAATATGCAGTACCTAAACAATGAAGCTTTTTTTAAATTTGAATTTACACTGAATGAATAAGAAAGTGAATAGCTTAACAACAAATAAAAATTGATTGAATAATAAAGCAAATAGTTTAAAAACACAATTACAAAATAAATTCTATGAAGGTTTCACATGCTCGACAAAGATTTAGGTAATATTTATTGACTTACTCTAGTTCCCCTTTCCCAGAATATTGTTCTTAAATTTAAACTACTTGAGCAAAATATCTACATTGTGCAATTTTTTTATCTTTCATCAAACAATTCTGACTGGGAGATAACTGAATGAAATGTGAACCTTCTGTTAAAATCTAATTTTGCAGTTTCCCTTCCTATGATTAGACTTGAATATTATTCACGAAAAGAGACCTTTTTTCGTGAAACAAATTTTCAAAAAGAGAGAAAAAGAGACCCTAAAATTTTCTATTTTAATGATGGAAGAAAAATATATAAAATAATCATGTAGGGGAAAAATGCTAATTCAATTCATTTTGAGCCTTATAAATTATTCAAGTTATGCCATTATTTAAAACTGAATAAAACACATGATTAACAGATACAATGTTAAATATTTATCATAAAAAACACATTTTACTCTCCGTAAGTAACTCAGCTACATACATTATGCAAAAAGCCTCTACAAATATCTTATCAGAAAAGAAATACTAACCCTGCATGACCAAATAGTAAAAACATCTTTCATAGCTAAACCAAATCAGAAGCATATTAATTTAACTTCTCACCATTCCAAGCAACACTGTGCCATTTTAAGTCCATGGTTACATTTGGCTAATCAAGCCCTTTTCCTTAATAATAGTCAGCTAAGGGCTAAATTTTATTTTTTAAAAATATTTTTACATCTTTCACCAGACAATGCACTGCACATTTACAGACCTTTATTCCTACAGAAGATGTATTGACACTTGACACAGAGTCACTTACTCTGCATAAAATTCATTTGATGTAAAATCAACAATGAATGATGATCAAATTTACAGAATTGGGAAAGAGCCCACAACACCATTCATGGGTTAAATGCTATAGAAGTCCTGCAAATACTGTATTATTATAGAACCAATAATGTAACAGTCATCTTTTTCTTTTACATATGCAATCCACATATTTTACAGGCTGTTTTCTATAAAAGTTCTAGATAATAAATTGCAGTTCTCTTTCAACTCCACATCAAGTGTTCTCCCTCTGATTGGCTGAGCTCATTAGAAATATTTGCCTTGTTTCATTAAGTGGTAATGCAATTGCACCAGAAATTAAATATTGATAAGGATTTAAATTTCTCTTATAGAGTATAATAAAATTATCAATTTGACCATAGCAGAATACAGAATGGTAATCTGCCTATGTCTTTGCAGCTACCTTTATAACAAACACTGGCTTGCATTTAAATTAAACACAAGGAAAACTATCAAAACACCTATGTAGTCAGCCTATATGCCCGTATTTTAATCTGAGTAATAGCATTTACCTGTCTTATCCAACTGACCACTGCTGAATGATGGGAACTTATAAAGGTACAGTAAGTTTTAAAATTATAGAGTTAAAATTACATAAGGACTAATGACGTTTGTGTTTAGATCACATAATAAAAAGGCTTTAAAAAACTTGAGGCATTACAACACATTCTGTTTTCAGCAATTTTTTTTATTTCATCCTAGCTTTTTTCTAAATAAAAGCTTCAGGCTGAATACAGAAGCAAGATAGAAAGCCACTATCTCTGAATTAAAAATGTATATCTTGGTCACTATGATTACCAACTTTTCTCCATTTTTTCTTAAATATCTTCATTTCCAGCATAAAACTAAAGCTGCAAAAAATTGCTCAAAGACCTCCTAAACTTGTAATGCTCTTTTCATTTTAGTTTCTTCCCATATAAATTTAAATGAAGGTAATATTTATGATAAACATGTATAATTGAAGCAATGCTCTCATTGAGGACACATAATTAAAACACTTTTACACATGGAGCACTCAATCTTAAGACTTTACAGCACCCACCCCTAATAGTGAAGTTTTTAGAAACAAATTCTCCATTATAAACTACTGCAAACACATAATCAAGGATGTCTTATTAATGATGAATTCTTTTTATCCAGTTTTCAGTATGTCATTTATATGAATATTTTTATTTCATTTTAAAATTTAAAGCAATTTAATTGCATTCAGAATTCTAATGTTAATATAACTACATGAAGTCATAGGTCTGCAAAGACTGCAATCGAGTTGAAAAAAAATTTAAATGCAAATTTATTTAGGCATTACTACAGACTCATGACAAAGTTACCTTACAGTACAGAAATATAGAAATGATGTACATCTTTCAAGAAATATACTCTATACATTCAATTCACCAGAAATAAGAAACTATTAACAGATGAAGGCAAAATATAATCAGATCACTACACATTAGTTCAATCATAAGATTGGAACTTTTTAACTTTCATTTTTAATTTCAGAATCCCATCAAGTCATCTACTAACTCATCTGCAGTTATTTTATTTCAGCAACCGCCATAGAATTTTTCAGTACTAATTCAAATCCTTATTTCAGGAAATTTTCACTGACAAACTTACCGTAAAATTTAAAACTACTATTGAATTTTAAACTGGATATGTCCCATCTGTTCTACACATACTTGAAAAAGTGATTGTAAAGCAATAAATGAGTGAAGCTGGATGTTTTGTGCTAAGTGAATAACACAGCAATAAACACCCATATCTGGTACATCAATCTGCAAAACAATGCTTAGAAGAGTAAATCTGTCAATAAAGCATTTTTACTGTCCTGAGGTTAACTTAGCTGTAAGTACAATATACTGGATGGTTAAAAGAAAGGAGATTTAGAATGTTCTGTTAGTATGAATAATTATTTTGCAGAGATTTGCAAGTCTAAGATGAAAATCGAATTTTTATTAATAAGGAACACGAGAAAATGAAGTACACAGACACATGATAATAAGTAAAATTCAAGTTGTTGAACTATTATAAGTTTTCAAATGTGAATATTAGAAATGCTCTAATAAGCCAAATATTTTTTTCTCTTTATAAGAAGTCAGCACTTATAACCATAAAAAATATAGTTACTAGGGCAAAGAATAAGCTGTCCAATTTTCTCTTACTATCCAAGAAATGTCCAATTTTCTCTTACTATCCAAGAAGTGTATACAGAATTGATACTATCCGTTGTCTACAGAATGTTGCACACGACAATTAAAAATCAAATATATATATAAAATCAATATATAATTTTTATAATCAACTATATATGACAAAAACAAACTAGCATTAGAAAAATTTCCTTATTTAGTTTAATTTAATAAAAACTAAAATTTTCAAGAAAGAAATGACACATTAAAACACTTTAAGCAATTATACAATACCAACAAGTGGGCTGGCTGCATCGGCGTTTCGTGATTTTCCCCCTTCACTTTCTTTCATTGCAGACGAGCAGTAGGGCACAAAGGGCAACATGGGACATCCATCCCTTTCATAGAAACATCAGTTCTGATATAATTTTCTACACATCTAAGATAAATCTTGAGTATATTAAATTTTTTTAATGGCCATGCACTTTATTTAATAGCCATTAGCTTAATGCTACTATAAGGGACAGAAGTGGTGGTCATTTCATTAAGGAAACACCTAACAGATGGCCACCATTGCCTCCTATAAAGGGGATGGACAGTTACAACCATACCTTCAAATCCGGGACTATTGTTACATCTGTCAGAGTCACTAACCAATATACCAGTTCAGTGGCTAATGTGTATTAAGCATTTAGCTAAAATAAGTAAAAAAACTGGAAACTGCAAAAATTTGTAAATTAACATTTAATTGTTATATATGGTATGAAGTTAAAAATAATGGGACTTACATTATTCTCAGTTGATATGCATGTATCAACTGTAGATTCCGAGGTGCCACTAAGAACACAAACTTGTTCATCCAGACAGAAATCCATACTGGATAAGAAGTTTAAATCCGCAGACAGTTCTAGATCTAGAAGTGCATCAGTAAAATCAGTTGAAGACTCCATAGATTTTGAAAACAGATCTGGTGCAGCTGTAACCCCACAATGATTATTACAAGATACTTCAGCATAACCGAAGTCTTGAATCCCTTTGTCTGTTGACATACAATCAAAATCAAAAATTGCTGAAGAGTCAGCTTCCAGGGAAATATCTAAAATAATAAATGGTATATATTATTTTTAGATTTTAACTTATACACATTTATCACTACATATCTTTCAAAATTAAAATTTCATCATAAACTACTTATCATGGTACATAATTTAGCCACTAAATGTAAGCTTCAGTAATACTCCTATATCACTGAAGTCTGAAACAACCCCCAGAGAGTACTGCATCCAAAACAGCATGTTTCTCATGGACCCTTTTTTCTACCACAATCTTTTAAAAAGATTTTTGGGAATGACAGATTTTTAAACAGATCTACTACCGAATGGACATCAACATTCATGCTTTATCTGAAATGCTTTATAAAATGCTCATGGTTTATCTGAAATGCAAACCAGGCCAATCTACATATAGCCCATCTTTGTGGACAATCAAGCTGAAGTGTCAACAAAAGCAGTTCGAAAAAGTATCTTGAAATGAGAGTTTGACTAAAAAAATTAAAAGAATTATTGATACAAAAAGAAAGATATGCATTTCCTGATCGCTAACAGTGCCAGTGTGGTACATAAATCATATTCTAAGATTAGATTTAATTCTCAATGATAGTTTATTTTCAAAACTTCATGCTTTTAAGTATTTTTCTCTCTCCTTTTTTAATTATTAAAATTACTTTAATGTTCTATAGATTATGAAGATATTAGGAATGAATTTTGAAAGTAAGACAAAAAAAAAAGTAAATTCAAAATTACACTGAACATGCTGCTTCCATAAGAATAACAAATACTGTGCTCATTCTTTGCTAGAATGCTAACATCCATCTTATAGCACTTATAGAACAGATGTTTGATATGGTACCATTAACTGGCTTGAAAAAAATGTCCTTACATCAATCAAAGTTAATTGCTCAGTTAGTCCTGAAAAGTTTTGAACACCACATAAAAAACTTTGTACCAACATAAAGCTTTGAATATTGCCCTACTTCTAATGGCTTCATTATTCTTTTGAAAACATTATTATTTCAACAGTTTTAAAGTTAACTGTTTAGCTTAATTTCTGTAATGATTACTTAACTGCTAACACAGATTTATGTACATTGTTGGCCATCCAAAATGCATCACCATGAAAGAAGCATCCAAACAGAATGAAGCTTGCATGATGCGTACACCGCAACGGAATATGCAAATGATTACGATTTCAGTGCATGCACACATCATGGGTTACTGCAACACTCCTTACAATTCACATATAAACATAATTGAATAACATGAATTGTTCTCTCATGAGATGAACTGATACAACCAAATTCACAATGAATGCACTCTGTAACAATCTGTGTCAGCATGAACTATATCACTTTGTTTATAGTACAAGGGACTGTCTGCTAGGCATCCATTACTTCACTTACCTTTAAACCACAGACATCTTCAATGGTGCACTGAATGAATGAGATGGATATCCAAAAATGGCAAAGTGTTTTCATATGAATCACGCTTCTGCCTCCAGTACCCCGATGGTCAGATTGGAGTTTGGAGACACTGTGCAGAGAGGCTACTCGACTGTTGTGTTAAGCACTTTTATACTGGTTCAGCACCGTGTTATGATATGAGGTAGTATTGGATTCCACTCTTGCAACCCATAGTACACATTATTGGCACACTTACCAATGTTATATCTCTGAGGTTTTGCAGACTATTCACTTTGCTAACCTTCAGGGCTTGCCTGCAGCCACATTTCAAGAGAACAATATACGACCAGACATTGCAAGCAATGTTCAAGCTTTCATCGCCCACCTGGCCTGCATTTTTATACTGCCTACCCATTCTCCAGATATACTTCCCACTGAACACCTCTGTTCAATGAGTGAATGACTAGGCCTGCATGCTGCAACCATGGATAGACCGACCAGATGAATTTTGGCTACATTTGGAGGCAGCATGGGTTGCCATTCCCCATCAACATATCCAAAGTATCTTTCACTCAATGCCATGGTGTATAGAAGTGGTTATTGGCAAATGTGGAAGCAATATTCATTGATTTTCTCATGTTAATCACCTTAACCCTTTGAAGGGCAAATATATACCGGTTGTTTGCCAATTTTTTAACCTCCGAAAAAATGCTAATTTTTCTACACCAAAAGCTATAATTGTAAGTGTCTATTGTTTTTCTTTCAATCTATACGGCCCATCCTATGATGCTCAATATTTACAGTATGACATTAATACCCTCGTTCCAAGGTATCGTTGGAAGATTGATAAATTCTGTGGAGGAAAGAAAAAATTCAAATCTGCAAAATATGACATACACATGCTGAATCTTATTAGTTTAATTTCAGTCAGAAGTGATAATTAACAGACGATTATTTATACGATTTAAAACGGTATTAATATACTGGCGCCCACACTGAGGGTACCATGCCACAGATGGCAGCACCAGTCTTCTCCTTTTCTACTCTGTGACATAACAGAATTTCTTTATTATTGTAACAGTTTGTGATGTAATAATATTTCATGATTAATTTATAATTAAAGTCATTTAGGATTAAATATTATGTTAATATTATGATAATTATAATTAAAGTCATTTAGGATTAAATATTATGTTCATGGAGGAATGGGGAGTTGGATACTTGAAATATGAGTTGGTGGAATTTGCCAGCAATGGAAGAAACTGCAGCAAAATTTTTACAAGAATACAGAACTTTGTTCAACATTTTCTAAACAGAACAAGGAAATGAGTTTTCTCAAGGAAACCAATGGGCTGAATGACTGCACGAAGCCAAGTTTCTGCTATGCTCCAATTTTTTTAAAGCGAAAACAGATGGGAGAAGAATAACACACATACACAAAAAAGAAAGTTTTGAAGAAAATGTTTTATTTTTAAAAATTTATCTTATAATCCTTATTTAATAATTTAAATTTGTATTTTAAATTGTGAAAGTATGTTTTCTTTACATATGCTGACATGTTTACCAACTTATGATAAATATTAATAATTTAGAAACCTTGCTAAGAAAAAAGATGCAAAAACTACCAACTTGGACCCTATACGTACCTTCAAAAATTGCCAAATTACTCCAAAGTCGTTGTGTTAATTTGCAAGTAGCGGAGGCTATACTTCATATCAATTAACACTGATACTATGTGTAATATGTGAAATAAATTTAGTTTTGAACAGCACTACACTGTCCAAAATTCTATTTCTTGCATGCACAAGGTTAAAGATAAACTCAGTAATGAATAACAGAAAAGCAACTATTTTTTATAGGCATTCAAAATTAAGGCTTCACTTGATGATGCTATAACAAGATATGGTACTTAATAATTATTAGCAGTGCTATAGCAACTGAACAACTTTATACAAAGATAAAAATTCTGGCTGAATATCAGATTTTTATCTTTTGCAAAATGAAAGAAATAAAATAAATTACTATTATACCTTTATTTGCCTGGTATGTAACTTCTACTTGCAGCATGCTCTGTACAGCATTCTCTGAACTCTGTGAAAGAAGTGCACACAAGTCCAGTTCTTCGTCGAGTGTAGATGCAAGGCAGGTGTCCTGAAGCACACTGCCAGATACTATTTTGTTTTCGCTCAGCTGATTCAGCGAAGTTGCTCCAAAACTCAGACATATTTGCTAGAAAGAAGTAAATATATGCATTACTCTATGTACAATACAAATTGTTAGATATAAATCTGACAACAGATACAATGAGGTAATGTTTTGTTCTGAATTATACTTTAAATCCAGGCACAAAAAGTATCTTATATCCTATATATTTTCCTATTTTATCAAACCATCTCTGAAGTACAATCACATACCCTAAGCAATATAACTTAATTTGATGGTAGATTTTATTCTAAAAACAATAATACAGTCATGTAACTTTTTAAATCTTTAGCAAACCTGATATTATTCCTTATATACTTTTTATATCAATTAAAATTTACATTGCCAGCAATTTGAAGACTAAACATCACTTCGATGCTCATAAAATTATCAAAAGAATTATAGTCTATTTTTATGTTCTAATTTCTCCAAGCTTAGCCAAGCAAAAATAAACATTTTGTTTTTTTCATTCAAAACAGAGAGAAGCTCTCAAATTAAAATGTGAAATTATAAAAACCAACATTAAGTATTAGGATAAAGTTTCTAAATATTTTTCAAAAATTACATAAATTAAAACAGACACAAAAAATTAAGTTATAAAAGTTAGCTTAGCGAAAAAGAATACATTAGTAAATAATATATCACAATACACATACCATGTAACACATAATTAAGTTATGCAAGAGAAACAATTTTATTTGAATATTCTGCAGTTAAAATCAGATTAATGAAAACTGCTCATAAACTTTAATTTTACAGAAAAAATACAGGAATCTCAAAGAAAATTAGATTTACCTTTCGTGTAACTAAATTATTCAACATCTAATTATTATTAATCTAATTATTCAACAAAATCTAATAACTTATATCAATGTTTTAAGCCAATTATAGTTACGGAGTAAGACAGAATGGAATTAAGTATGCGTTTGATACCATTTGAAAGAGATTTATTAATTACCGTATTTTAGGAAACGTTACTTGATTAGTATATGTCAAAGCACACATGGATATATCTGCATAAGGGCAGGAATGCTTTCGTACAAACATTTGAAAGAAAAACTGACTAATTCACATTATACAAAGAGAAAACCACAAAAACTCTTACACAGTCAAGCCATTCACTGGAATATGAACTCAACTACCAGTATTTAGCGTTTTTACCTTTCAGCTGCTGGCCAACAAATATTTTAGAAAAGAATTCCTTTTTATGAAACTTAATTTCAGTGTTAAACACTTAGAAACTTGCAAGTTTTACAAACCTTATTCATGCATTACAAACACTGGCATAAAGATATAAAATGATAATGTAAAAAGCTCCATTAACAAAATGCTGAAAAGTAAATATAGTATATTCTGCATAAGGTTTACAGTGAAGATGCAGATGATGTGAAACTGTAAAAATGGCGGTAAAATGATGGTTAAATGCAAAGTAGTAATCCATATGTCACATATGAGAGTCAAAATATGTCAAAAGTGAGCTATTGTTATATGTAATTTGTTAAGTATGGTCAAAACGTGGCAGTTTTATCAAATACTGAAAGTGATGATGGGGATAATTGGAAAACACCATAATTTCTTCCAACTTCTATAACCACTCATTTAAAAATTCCCAATTGTTTTCAATTTAGCACATAGCTCAAGACATAATTGAAAACTAAGACTGTCTGGGTCAATTCTGGACGTTTGGTAATTCCACAGTTAGTGGAAAAAAGTTTTAAGTTTTCTGAAAAGTAGTGATTATTATCAGCAGATTATGAAATACCTTGAAGGCAGTATATTATTGCATACCTATCAGTCTGGCAGGAGTAGGACAGAGGCTATCATTAACAGACTTTCCCCACCTATCCCTGAAAATGGAAATGAATACAGACTTCCTCAGAAGGAACTTTCCCCTCTTGCACGTGAAACAATTCACCTGCTCAAGAAATGGAACCAAGAAATCATTACTAAACTACTTCACAGAGCTCTGTGAGAACACTGAAGTAGCTATGACCTTTCAAGTCAATAACATTCATGCTATTAATGTTAGAATTAAGAAATTTTCATCCAGAAAATGCCTGACCCAGTGCTATAAGTTTTGGGCATAGCTTTTTTGCTTCGAGAAAAAGGGGGCATGAAGTACAGACTTCTACAAAAAAGCTCCTTCTGTGAAAAGAAGAACTGAGAAGTCCTGCTGTATCTATGTCAAGGCAAGCATGTCAACTCCACCCATAGATGTGTAGCCTACAACAGAATCTTCCAGAATAAGAAACCAGAAGCCAAAGACAAACCCTTTAATCCTTAGAAGGAAGATTTCCCCACAATCGCTGAAAAGACCATTGAAGAAAAAACAGCAGAAAAATCTAGCTTATGCCCGTATGGTGAAAAACTACAAAGAAATCTAGCATGTTGGATTAACAGCATCATCAGAAAGTTTATTCATGAAATCTTTATGGTTACAGCCTCCTTTAAAAAGCCACCAATCAAAAAAACCCAAATACAAGTTTATATGCAACTGAAATTCTCATACATTTTGTGGGAAAAGAAGGATAGTACTCTTCTGTTATCTGGACCAGATTCAGAAATGTATGTATATATGCATGTATGGATTCATAAATGCATATGTATACACATAAGCATATACACATGCATACATATGTACATTTCTGAATCTAGTCCCAACAACAGAAGAGTATCAGAAGAATGATCATCTATTCGAACAACAGATAAGAGCTCCCAATCTGGAATGTACACTGCAACACACCCTTAGCTTGCATGACATTAGCTTTCTTACTTAGAAAAGCATTTTTTCAATACTGCAAATTTTATAATTCCCTTGCTACAGTTATCGTCCATGTTAGTTACAGAAATGCTTACTGTTCTGTTTAAGAAGCTTTTATACATACAGGATTAGACGTACACCTCGAACTTGCATAATGTGACCTCCCTGCTAAATCACCTTTTCTAATTTACTTAACCTTTCATAATATCACTCATGAATGACATTAAGCTCTGAAATTCATAGTCGTGTTTAATTATTTTATAGTTTAATTTTGCTATTTCATTACCTTTTATAAGTTGTATAATTTATTATCAAAAGGTTTCAAATTAATGCCTTGTAAAGATGCAGCATGATAATATACTAGTCAGATTAAAAAACAAATTATCTTTATTAACAAATGGAAAGACATCTTGTTTTAACTCTTCATTAATGTAAGCTCTACATAATTCATGTCCAGGACAATACAGTAAGGCTGTCAAGAAAACAAAATCAGAAAATAAAAATCACATTTAAGCTGCTTTATAATATGTACAGTCCAACTGAAATTTCTAAAAATATTTTAAAAATTGAATATTAAATTATTAAGCAGATCATTTTCTTGCTTTATCACAAACTGAGGAGGGACAAGCAATTCTGTGACAAAAGTACCTTTTATGTAACCAATCCCAAGCTGAGGATTAGATTATTTAAGACTTTCTTGTCTAGACCCCATCCCAGTTTTGAAAAAACATACCAGGATGTGGAACTCTTAAGATTTTGTAAACAATCTTTCTCTACCAGACATGAGATAAATGGAACATTAATATTGATAAATCTTTAGTAATGTCATTTCCTAAAGGTATTCTCATGATAAAAATCCATGTGCAATTTTGGATTTGAATACTAGCCAAACAGCACATGCAACTTTTATCAACCATCACACTATTTGAAAAAGTACATAAAAACAAACACTTTTTAAGAGCTCATTCATACAGCTTACAAATTTATAACCTTGAAGAAATGTTTGCCAATTGAACAAAAGGTCTTGATTATTTTGATGACAACAAAGTATATTACAACCACCTACGTAAAAAGACACATTACATAAAATAAATCCTGTCCACAGGAAACTAGCCTGTATTTACTTCAGACAATCTTTACACAGCCTGTTGGTTCAACCATTAGAAACATAACATTAAGCAAACGATCAAAGTTTCATGGTTTTAGCCACTTGGTCAGCTACATATCAATACAGATGACTTTTTTTTTTTTTTTTTTTTTTTTTTTTTTTTTTTTTTAGGAGGGAGGAGGCAGCTGATTCTTAATCAAAGACATCACATTGATTTTCCTCCACAAAATGATCAAGTAACGTGTTATTAAAGAGAAGGAAAGCCAATATATGCTACTAGATAAAGATTAGTAGATAGCTATGAATGAAGCTAAAAAGGAACTTTATGAACATCCATAAAAATCATTATATTAATTTAAAAGGATTCCTGAAATTGTGCCACTAAATAAAAATGCATTACACTAGAGTAATGGTTCTTAATCCTTTATGCCCAAAGCTCCCCTTTCAGCACAGCTAGGTGATCATTCTGGTCTTTTTCCAAAACTAAAAAAATACATATTTAAATTTGGAATATTTTTTATTGTGCTTTGTAAATTAAATAATAAAAAGTACAGAAAATGTTGGTTAAGTACCGAAACTTGAATATAAGTAGTTCAGTTAGTGGTAATAATAGTACGGTAAAGCTAAACAGTTAACAGGTAAATAAGGGGCTGTCCACATCCCCCCTTCCCTGAAATTTCAAAATTCTCCCCTGGTTGAGAAGCCTAGACTTGCAGAAAAGTAAATTTGCAGTTATCTTCAAATGTAAAGAGTTGATCATTCAAAATTTAAAGGTACTTGATAAACACAATATTTAATGATATATTCAATTTTGTTATAATTTTTATAAATATCTGAAAATATTATTACATATACTGTAATTACATACACTAATACACACAAAATAAGAGTAAATAAATCTTACTTCTTGGGTGAAGTGATTTCCCCCTAAAGAAATTTTCCTGAAGAACTGGACTTACTTGATATATAAACCTAGGAATAGTAAAATAATTCCAGTGAGAAAGAATACTGCATTTAATTTTGGATTATTTATAGCATTTTTTTAATTAATACATGATAAAATATATAAAAATGGCATAGCTTGAAAAAACTTGCAATCATAAGAGATTTAAATTTTTCTTTTTATTTTAGTTGGCCAAATATTTGCATAAACCAATAAAATAGGCCACAATAAGTGTGCCTGTTATAGAATTTATTATACTTTTAAAGAGAGCAGCGGTAGATGGAAGTTGATAACAAGAAAGAGAAAGCAAAATGCGATGCAATCCAAGATCGAGGCCTATTAGAAAGGGAAAAAGGATTTGGTTTACAACATTCTCAAAACTATTGCTAGTTTCAACATTGGTTAGTTGACTTTCATATATAATGATGAAATGAAGGAAAGATTGAATATCCGAATTAAATTAAAATGTTAAAGTACTACTGCCAACTAAAATTAAAAGTTTGCTTTAATTTTTTTTTTTTTAATCTTTCATATATACATCGCACATCTCAACTGGAAAGCGCACTCTGCCACTTCACCATTTAGGCTATGTCAAATATAGCCAATGTAAATAAAAAAAAAAAAAAAATGCTTGTTTAGATTTATTTTATCACCCTTTAAATATCTGCTCTTGCTTTAATATTTTATGAAATGTGATAAATTCTGATCTCTGGTTCATTGGTTTTCTTTAAATCTTTATATTTTTAATTTTTTTAAACCCCAATGGCAAAACTGGAATGAATTATAAGCTTTGTTACTGCATGGGCTTTCAGAAGAAGTTGGACCTTTTTCATAATTCAGTATTACTTTCCATGAAAAATATTTGTTTATACTTTTTCCTTTCCCAGTATCTATCTGATGAAGAGTTCAGTGTGACAGTATAATTTCTGACTTGCTGTATATTCACAGGATTTTAGGATTTACATCACTCATGGCATTATGTTTCTCTAGCCTCTGGAACCAACATCGCTAACCTACAAAACATAACTGATATCTATATTTTCATAAAATTTAGCAAATTGCTTTTATATAGATCAAGTGAATTTGAATCCCTCTTATACTGAATTTCTATTCAGTTTAGTTATATTAATTACAATGCACATAACTATATACCATAGAGTTATTATGCAACATGTTATACATATGAAATATGACTTCATAACTAACAAAAAGAGATTCTTTCCATCTATTAATACATATTCAATGCATCTAACACACTGAAGATTATGACAGTTTGTAGTTAAATGAAACTTACCTTAAAAAAATTATACCTTTAAGTTAATTCATATTTTAAATAAACTCTCAGACTAGCATTATATACCTGAATTCACTTCTGTAATTTCAAAGTACCTACCTTAGTTTACTTCAAACTGAAATTCAGTGGGAGATATTTTATATTTCAATGATACCATCTCTTGTTGGCAGGAGAGATTCTTCTATGAACTTGCTGAACCGCAATATACACAGAGTGGTCCAAAAGTCTTGCCTTGCGACTTCAGATGGCTAACACTGCCTCATATTTAAAGTTCTAGTACATCAATGCAAAGAATATAAAAAGGTAACTTTTAAAAGTACCTAATATATCGGATGACATTCTACTTCAGATCCTTATTTTTCAAAGTAAACTGAAACTCAAAATCAATATCCTACAGGTATGTAGATATTTCATCCATCTCGTATATATATATGACAGTTATATGTATTATACTACATACACGCACTTTCCTTCATGAAGCGATCGTCCACATGATTTTGACGAGGTAATAAATTTATATCATTTCCGACTGAAACATGCATAGCCTACGACGTAATTTCATACAATATTAATTTTTTTACTTTTCTTATTAATCTTAAGAAAGATTGCTCAGCTTAGAAATAGAGAACAGCAAATCAACTTACCCACAAAAAAAAAAAAAAAAAAAAAAAAAAAGCACAAGATGCGAATACTAGGAGCGTTTAATCCCTCCTATTTTTTTAAGGGTAAACATACTTCGTAAAAATAATAATTTCATGCTACATTAAAATACTTTTATATTCAACTGCTTTAACGAAGACACAAACTGAAATTAATTACAATCTCATGCTCCTTACATGCTAGATGATATAATTTTAGAAAGCTTTAAGTGTAAAACACACCATAATTACTAATGTAGAATATATTGTAATTTAAGATACGATTTTCAATATTACATTCAATTAACAAATTGTGTTAAAAACACTGCTTCTAATTCATGACAACATACAAAAATAAATTACCGATCGCCAAAGTAAGAATGTTAAATCCTTTTAAGGACCAGCCAAATTCGCTAAAATTTAAGGGGAGAAAAAACGAAGGCACCAATAAAATTTCAATAGCTCGGGACCCCAATCAGCTGATGAACAATTGGTATTTAAAAATGGCCGATTCAGGTGTTTAATACATATATGAGAAAAATCTGCAAAATGACGTCATTTTCAACCAATCGTTAGATGCCAAAATGATGTCATGAAAATATCACTGAGTGCGCACGTGATGTACGCTCGATAACAGGAATCGCAAATCGGACGCAGGAAATATACCTCCGTTGGCAACAGAAATTTATTTTCACTTTCAGTGCTGGCAGTTGCTGTTGCTGCTTGACTATACGTTTTCTCGACATTTCATGGCTGTCTCATCCTTTCAATAACTTTGTCTTCTTATTAATGAAAACTAATTTACTAGGCAATCGTAAAGAACTGTTCATAAACTTAAAAGCGTATCAGTATAATACACAGTGTCCCAAGCATCAAATTTAGAGCTGGCAAAATTATTAGAATTTAGGAGAGACAATGGGCAACAGAATTTAGGGACGCAATTTTTTTTTAAATTTAGGGAGGCACTGGGAGCAGAATGCCAGCTTTAGCTCTGACATCTGACTGCAAATGTAACTATAAAGTTTGATTTTTTACCTTTTTTGATAAGTACGAATATCTGCAAAATTCAGAGAATTATACAAACAGTAAGGCAGCTGAAAGCGGGAAATGACGAGAATATTCCGATATCTTATAGACAAGTACAATTTTCTGAAATATACGAAAGTATTTATGCTGAAAGCATATTTGTTGTTAGAAATAGCATGCGGGCAAAGGAGAAATCTAGGTTAACATATGACAGCTAAATTTCTGTAAAATTGTGATACGGTGAGTAGTTTTATACATTAATAACATATTCATTGCACAATCACATATAAGAAATGTGCCTATTTTTTACATGGGTTTTGTTGTTAAAGAATAATTGTAAGCTCAACATAGTTATCTTATTTATTATACTGTGGGATACAACAAGGTTCATGGTCACAAATATATTTGCATTTTTTTAAGACCAAAAACAGTCGATTAATAACTGTGGAATTTAGACAAAGTTAATTCTTAGCAATTTTGAATACCAAAATGAATCTATACTTATGAAAAATGCATGTATGCTGTGTAAAACTTTAATTCAGTATTGGTTAAAGAATTTTTATTGTGTGCTCTCTAGTTCTCATTTATTGAGGCTGAAAGACACTAGGATTTACTATTGACTTTGGTTGTACAGAAAACGTCTAATTGTCTGACGCAACTCATTAAACGTTTTACGGTAAGAAGCGCAAAGTTTTTCCAACACCTTTCATAGAATAAATACTGTCTTTTTCATTTTCGCTGCTTTCACCGTCAGTTAGTGTTATAAGATCTTCCAGTTCTTCATTTGCCCTTTCAGGATTGTCATTCTCAATTAATTTTTTAATTTCTCCTTCTTCCACATCTGAAAATACTTTGCCGCCTACTGCTTTCGCAGTTTTTTTTTAATTTTCCTTGGTTTCATTTTCAGTCGATGGAAATCCTTTAAAATTGTTGACAGCTTTTGATAGCGTTGATGTCAGCAAGTATTCGTTGTTGACGAATTCCCTTGTTATCATGTGAGTTTAATCAATTCCATGCAGTGTCTTACGTTGAATTGTTTCCAGAATGCTATTAAAGTGTCTTGTTTTTGGTCATCTAGTGCTTTATTTACAAAGATATAACCATATCCGATATAATAGGATTTGAATGTTTAATGATTTCCAGATCCGTTGACTGAATTAAAGAAATGGTGCTCGGTGGAAGGAATAAAACCTCTACGTTTGGAGGTTGTGAGGGAAACAGCATTCTGTCATGCAGCCTTATGAAGAAAAGGGAGAAATTTAAAGCTCAGGTTTGCTTTTCTAAGTAAGACTTCTTAAATGAATGAATTTTCAAACTAGTCATTAAAGAAGACTATAGCAACGCGGCTGTCGCTCTACGGCATAACACATGAATTAAGATAAAGTATGTAGGCAAAATCGCGTTTTGAAAGTCAGCGTTCGGCAAAGCTTTACTGCAATTGAAGTACAATGTATCCAAACTAATTCTTGTTAACAGAATAAGTTAGGAGAGGTTTTGATTCAATCAAGAAATAACGTACATGTTCAACCACGCCCACAAAGCTGGGCAACATAAAAAATAAATATGCTATGTAAAATGCAAATTTCGATGTCTGAATATTTATCATGGAAATGCACGGAATGTTGGCTAGTTTGGATTTCTACTAAAAGATTTTTCCTTCAAAAATTCTGGAAATGACCGAGGTAATTCAGCTGAACAGTGTAATCTTAAAAAACCTTTATTTTTTAAAAATCTGTCTCATAAATAGATGTTAGTCTATATTAAAACCGTTAAAGACCTTCGTTTTCGAATTAGCTAAATTCTGGTGAGGACAGCTGTAAAGTTTATTTTAATTAACAAGTTATTTCTTACTTTAAATCTTCCATGCATTTCTACGCTTCATAAACCACACCAGAAATTCAAATTAAATTAAAATAACGTGAGAGCATCTGAGAAGGAAGAGATTAAATGTAACTTTGTAGAGACATTTTTTGAAAGCAGGAGAGGTGAAAGATGAGCAATGCCCTCACCGGGACTCGAACCACGGATCTCTCGAATACGCGCCGAGTGTGCTGACCACTACACCATGAAAGCATGCTAAGAAGAAGGAGGGATAGATACCTTATAATTTCAACTAGAAGGTTAATAACTATATGATTCTACGTGTCATAGCTCTATGCTGATTGTTAGTGAGTATGGGTATTTCGATTTTGCTTTTAGTTACAGCATAGAAGGTGCGTTAACATATGAATTGGGTTTCTAGGCACTAATATAGAATTTTTTTTTTGTATTAATTGAAATACCGTTGCATTATCAACCTACAAGAAGTGAATGTTAAGTTTATGTTAACATTTTAATTAAACCGAAGTACAAATAAGCATTTTGATTGATTTTATAACTGCTTTTATCACTTTGTGCTATTGCATTTAAGTTAAAGACACGACGCAAATTTTTCTGGAAGTCTAGTGTTTGGATTAAGTGCAACAGAGATGCAACCTCTGAACAACAGCTGAGAGAATGAGAATAGCGATCAGTCTGCTTCATCATAAAGCGAGGTGTCTAAGACATAGAATAACTTTCATTACTGACAAAGTAGGGAAAAAAACTGAAAGCCATTACTGAAAAGATAATTTTCTAAGAAGAATGATTAATAAAGTCGCACTGATGGAGAACAAACAGATATAACTATTGTATGAAATGCTTTAGTTGCTTGATTAAAGAATGCCACTCCTTCCGCATTCGATTGTAAAGAGTGAGAAAGGCGCACGATGATTCAATGACTTACAGGATAGTTTCTTCAGTATTTCATAACTGACGCCATATGAACCCGACTAATTTGTCGGTAATAAGGATCTTCTTAGTTTACAAAGAGTAAAACAACTATTATAAGTCTCCGAGTTGGTCGAGTTAAGTTGAACGTTATGGGAATTTTCTCAGAGTACAGCTTGACAGAAATATATGTTGGGGTGGGGTTGCTGCCACTAGAACTGGTAACAAAGTATAATCTAACCAATACTATTTTCAATTTCTTCTGGGGCGCTAATAATTTGGCAGCTTTTTCCAGAAACGAAACTGGGTGGATTTTATAAATTCTTCGTGTTTTTCCCTTTCTTGTACCTGTTTACTTGAGGCAGAAGAAATTATTGCTGATACATAGGATATCCATGAATCCATTTAGCCCCGCCGCCTTACAGTTCTTGCTCTTTCTACGGATTGCTTTGAAAGCTATAGTGTTTGGCAAAATGGGATACTTACGAAAAGCTTCTCAAGCTCTGTTGTTTCAGAGTTTTTTGTCATTCACGGTTCCACTGCGATTTTGAATATCGTGGTAGCTTTGTTGATGTCACAGTGCAAAGCTGTAGATGCCTGAGCAATAACATTAAAAACGGCTTTCAGTATATCGTCGATAGGCATATCGTTGACTATTTTTCAGTGAAGTCTGCAAGAGATGATAAGAATTCCCACTCTGCCCTATCAAGTATAAAGCAAAGAGATGTTGACATGAGTCTCAGACACTCTGTTGTGAGAAATCAAAAAATGAAAAATTGGTCACTGCAAGAGTCATTTCCAATGTTAAATGCGCAAAAATGGGAAAGTGATGACGAACAACTAGCAAAATCAATAACATGAAAACTTTTTGTTAGCTAGTGAAAGTAGGTATCCTGTCCATTATCGAGAAGAAAGAGGCAATGATCTTCGTTCATTTGTTCAGTTTGTCTACCTCGAGAATTTGTATTTTTATTTTCTCAGGGCGTACTATAGCCGGTACAGTTCCCTATTCATGCAGCTGTTTCATAAGATCATCTAAATCTCGTTGGTCAGTGTGGTGATTTGGAAACAATTGGAAACAAAATCCGTATATTTATCTGAATGGCAACAACTTTAAGGATTTTTGTTAAAGAAATTGACATGCAAGGATAGTCGAATGAGGTAAGGAGACAACTTCTACCTACAAGATTATATTTCCTTGCCAAAGAAGCTTAGTGAAAGAAGCTTGTGAAAGATGCTTAGCGTGTTGCTCAGGTTTCAACATAGTTTTCTATACTGCCAAGCGCTCAAATTGATGAATATAGAGCATATCTTTGATATTAACACCTTGAATGCCATGGTCATCACCGATGATTCACAGCTTTATTACTTTTCAAAGCCGTGTACATCAAATGTGATTCACAGGCTTTATATTGTTTGAAGCTGTGGGAGTCACCCGTGCTTCAAAAACACACAGATTTATACAGTTAAAATTATTCCTATGGCCTCAGAAATTTGCTACGTATTCTTGGTTCCAGCTTCTGGAAGCTTTTGCCGATAAATTGTTGTATGATTTTTAATAATTTTTTTTCTACAATAACTTTTAAGTAATTGTTATCTATGTGAAAGGAAGACAACAGAGCTGTAATTGAAGAGGATTGACTTGTTTATTGAAAAAGTACAAGACTAGTGGTACATTTTAAGATGCTTACATATTCACTAAGTTATTCATTTTCGATTGTATATTCTGTTTTATTATTTGTCTAACTTTAGAAATTTTTGCTATCAAGACAATGAACTCTAATGTTACCTTATGATAAGTTGAATTGTAATTAGTTTATAAATACAAAAAATATAAAAGTTATGAGGTATTTCTCCCACCTTCTTAGCGAGCCTTCGTGGTGTAGTGGTCTGCACGCTCAGCGCCTAATTGAGAGGTCCGCGGTTCGATTTCCGGCGCAGGCGTTGCATATTTTTCAATCTCTCATGGCTCTACAGTGGCGCTCGAACTAAAAGAGTGTTGGATGATGATTCTCCTCACCCAGACTTTGGCGATTGGATCCTCTAAAATCCCCAGTCGCCCTTTAAAAGGGGTAGTATATGAGGTATTTCTCCCGACTTTCTAGCGAGCCTTCGTGGTGTAGTGGTCTGCACGCTCAACTCATAATTGAGAGGTCCGCGGTTCGATTCCCGGCGAAGGCGTTGCATATTTTTCAATCTCTCTTGCTTCCAAAATACCTAATATCTGTACAAAGTTTAGAATCATGCAATTCAAAATGAAATGGGAAAATACACAAAATAATAACGAGCTCAAACTAAAACTAGGTATTGCACTGATTTTTTAGGATAAATGGGACAAGTAAACTCCATAATTAAAAAATGGCTCGACAGAATATTTCACCCAATTTAGCTCTAACTATCAACGCGTTAACGAAATTTTGGTGAAATTAATAGGAGACGAGGGTGTTTATTATAATTTATGAATTTTCTTTCAGTGCTGCTTTTTAATTTTATGTGGAAAGAGATAATTGAGAATTTTTTTCTCTTCCGTTTCCATATTGTCAGAATCTAGAGATTCTGGATTCGCATCTTTCACTGAACTATTGTTAGGAACTTCTAATTTGTTTACGTTCTTTCGAAGAATATTTTTCGTATTATTCAGAATCCTTTTTTTTTTTTTTTCCCTTTGTGATATATGAGTTTATAAACTTTGTGATAAACTGAACATCCATCCTAATCGAAGTTGTTAAATTAGCTTTCATATGATTTTTAGCACTGGTTATTTTAAAAGTTAAAGCTACCTTAGTCCAATATTAAGAACTCAAATTTCTCATAGATTTTTATGAAAGAAAGTGCAGGTTTCTGTTCTGTTACTAGTATAGAATATTTTTCAACCAGGTATATCTAGCAGATCGGATTATTATTTTAACATTATCAAAATTAACAAATTCTTCATATAATTTTAAGATTTTTATATTAATTGATACAGTTGTCTTATTATTCTGCACGTACAATCATTTTTGCTTTAGTTCATTCTCAAAAGGTAACAAATTAGTTAATGTATTCAATGTAGAGTTTATGAGTTTGGGAGAGAGCCTATGGCAGTTACCGTTGACAAGCTACTATGTTACATCTTTTTGCTATTAAATTTCTTTATCAGCTTTAGATTCTCTAGCCGCCATTACTTCTGAAAATACTGAAGGCGTGCTTAGTAGTAGCATGTATCTACTGCTGCCAACATCTTTGCACTGCAGTGTCTGTATACTGCAGGTAGCGGCCTCTATTGCTCGGTATGACCCCCCAGCTTCACGCAACCCTACAACGCGATCACGTTCGAAATCGTTTAGTTGTCTGTAAGGTCTTCAGCATCGTCGTAATGGCATTTTTAGTTGCTTCTTTACGGAATCACAATGGCAGCAACAAAAAAAGATAAATTTTCCGCCTCTGTTACTGGCTTTATATTTTGCGAACTGCGCACTAGAAATGCGCGCTATCATAGCAATTCCTGTTCATTTGGCTGGAAACTTTGATCAATTGCATGTTCGATCAAAATATTTTTGCATACAAAATTTCGTCACGATCGCAAAAGTCCTTCTTGGTGCTTCGGTTTTTTTGCAAAAGAGTGTATTTTTTGAAACAACGATGGTAACAAAACTTTTAAATAACAGGAGAAAACTTTATTGGCGAAATCAAGGAGACGATTTTACAAAGTTATCAGTTGTGCTTCTATGCAAAATAATGCCATGACCTTATATATATAAATATATATTATTTTGAACATTAGTTTAAACGATGTGCTTCATAACATAATACACAAGACTTGCAAAGGCACGTAGATATCAGTCATAAAATATGTAGGAATTATCTATTCACAAATACGCATTATTTTTGCAGTAGATAACACTTTTAACGGCGTCAGTAGTATTCGAAGATCTCTGTGATATTATTTTCCACCTCCAATGCTTAGTATCTTATATTTTGATAAAATATATTTTGTATAAAAAGAAGACTAGGTGAAGGCGCTCTTTAAGGAAAATCACTGGTTTTACAATTTCTGTTTTACACATGATCTTAAAGTGATTGTCTGTACTGCTACTTCTAAGAAGCGGAAGTTCTGCTATAGGAAGAAGACGGAGAATCTGTAGACGAGTTAAACACTATTCGGTTGTTAAGTTTGTAGACTTGAAGACCCTTGAAGGAAGCAAATCAATTATGCAAATCAGTTATGGATTTTTGTTTAAAGTTTGTATTAGGCCATCTGCAAGTGGATTAATATTTTTCATAATTTAGAAAAATGCTCATAAAATTTAGCTGCATTGTTATTACTATCTTCCATATACACGTTTTGAAGTTTTAAAGCAAGATAGCTTTTAATAACCATCTGGGAAGTTTTCAAAGGAAAACGTTTAAAGGAATGCAAAGTTTCTTCTTTTTATATAAAGCCTCAGCAAAGTAATATATATCGCTGTTAAACAATTTGTTATTTTCAATTGTGTATATTTTTTAATGACTACAGACATACATTTTTTAGCGTAATTCATTTTCTGGCGTGACTGTAATATTCTGTTCAGAAGCTGTTCAGAATTTGAGTGCTTAAATTAACTTTCTAATCTTATTAGTACTATTAGTACTATTAGTACTAATAAGATTAGAAGCCCTATTAATCCTATTACTATCTAAAACCCTATTAGTACTGACTATCAGAATATTTAAACCGCATACTATCAGACGTATTTTTGCGCATTTTATTGATTCCTGTGTGTAATATTGCTTACAGTCATGGACAGTATTATTTCCTTCATACTGAGGGAAACAAAACTGTCGTTTCTTTTTTTTTTTTTCCGATACTAATAAATCAGATATTTAATGCAGAGTAGTACTAAGTTATTAGGTAATTATCATCTTCCTTTCGTGCTTTCGTTGAGTATGCGGCTAGCAGACGGAAGGTCCGTGGTTTGAGTACCGGCGAAAAACTAGCTGATTTTTCACATCGCCTACTTCGAATAACCTATTAGCTATACAAATTTATATTTAAAACAAAAAATTAGTTGCATAACAATTCATATTCGAAATGATCCTGTTCCTAAAAAACTATTTTAATATTTTAAAATATACTTACGTATGTACATGGAAATAATTATGTTTGGCGAAAAATGAAGGAAAATTGAGTATCTTCGGGGGTGCAATTGAAAGTTCATCCGGCTGGCAGTCGTAAGGCCTAATGCCGTGGAAACAAAAATATCGGGAACGATAATTTATACGAATTATTGTGACTAGAAGGAGGACTGAACGATGACTAGGAATTATGCTGACTATGCTGACTAAAGGGCGACGAATTACTGTGACTAAGAATAAGGGAAGAAATTTACTTAGAGTGGTTCCCGCTCTGATGAAAACTGATGACTCTACACATTAGCCCCACCAGTGAGCGAGTGGTAGAGACTGCTGAATACCGGTAGTTTAACTCAGGTTCGAACGGGCCGTCTAAATGACTTTGATTTCATGGTTTCCCTCAGGTGTAATTTGATTAATCACCCGGCCGGTATAGTGGTCAACGACGCTGATTGCAGTACTGGGGCCGGAGTTAAAATCCCGGAGAAGGCATGGATATTTGTATGCGTATATTGTCTGTGTGGCAGTCTAATGTCGTTTTTTTTATGGTATGATGATTGGTATATAATATGTGCTGAATAATTATGTATTTTATGTCTATTTTAATTGGGAATTAGTTCCTGTTTTCCATTAGACGTTTTATTTTAGAATATGTGCTTTATATTGTTGGAATACCGGTCGATTTGTATTGACTGGAACTGTTTGACAAATCTGTAGTTTTGCACAATTTAGAATTGTATTGAAAAATTTAAGAATTAGTTTCCTTTTTTTTATCATCTGGGAGCCAAGTCATTATTTACAAAACATTTGTTTCTGTGGATAATAGTAAAATAGGGTACATATTACAATGAAATTCCCAATTGCAATTTCATGTTTGTCTTTGGCTAATTGCGACACAGTGTGCAAATTGCTATGGACGCACATAATGAGGTGTGCTAACTGTTAAGAACACGAAGTTATGATGTGTATCAAAGTGGACAAGTAGTATTTACTTGAACGATGAATTTAACAAAAGTGAACATAGAATAGCCTACACAACATCATATACTTTGGGCTAGGAACTATCAATTGCCTGAACTGATGTGACTTGCTTCCTCTGTGGATAACTGCAACATAATACGGACACACATCATTAGGTGTGTAACTGATAAGAATATGAAGTTATGATGTATTGAAGAAGACATAGGTTTAAAAACTGGTTGATATATAAGTTCCACTCTCCACAACATAGATCCTATCCATGCCAATGTAATTATTAATTGATCGTATATGTATTTTCATACGGATTATTATGTAACAATTATTGTATAGATGACACTGTCAATTTAGCATTGTAATATACTATCATTGATTCAGTGAATGCCGCTGGCGTGGATTGTAGATTCTTTTCCATCGCATGGACAAATAACTCTGATTGGTGTAGAACCTTAGGTCGGACGTCCATGCGACTGCGTATCAGTCTAATGTCCATGGTACGTACACTGTCGTGCGTCGCTGTTTTCACGCTCCTCAATATTCGCCATTTTTTGCGTAAGTCCTCATAATTAGGTTGAGTAAATCATACCATCCTATTGAGGAAGCCAAGACATGCGTTTTGATATATGGATTAAGCCTGTATCCTCCATACGTAAAAAGTTATTAATTAATTTCTAGTTTACTCGTGGGATCCCATTGTGTTCGCCATTGTTCATGCGAGGGAAGAACAACATGGCTTTTTAGTCCATCATTTACTCTCAAGATTTATATCACCGGACGCGCAATTGTGTCAGGTATTCCTTGGAACTATTTTCGTAGTGATCAGATTATTATTACGTTAATTACGTAAGATTATTTAGCTAGCACGTGGTGTGATGAGTCATATGTGAATTTGCAGGAAAAAGTACTGTTTCATCCCTGAACGTATTGCTAACTACGACAAAGAGCTCCAAAGAGATAAGAAAAGCTGGTGATAACAAAAGGTACTAGTGGTTTCTTCATCAGGCAGTTTCTCCAGTTTTCACAGCCCATTTTTCACGAAAAAAGATGGCAACAATCAGCGGAAAATGACGATTAAGGATTTCTAAATTAAAAGATTCTCCGTCAAATAGTTC